ATATATATATATATATATATATATATCAAAACCGAACACTATGACTTGACCATCCGGATGGTATGAATATGTAGCTACAGTCGCCTTGCACTTGTGGTAGTGTAACAGCTGACACCAATCAAGCTACTACCCAAGGTTAATCCCATAATACCTACCTCGGCACCCTGAGGTGGTAGGACCTCCTGCTATTCTCACAAATGATATACCTCTCTCTATGTGAGAATGATACTCAGAATTTCAGGATGAACGCCAGCTTAACATATCCATATTCATACTTTACAATTCAATAACCATACACGAGACATTCCGCCTTGGAATTCTCTTCAATAGTATTCAAAAGTCCAACATTCTCATATTTAACATAATATATCATTCATCAATTATATTTTCATTCACAGAATAAAGAGAACATGTGAACGTTGGAGACCGAACACCTTCACATTACCCAACCGAGAGAACCCAACGGTTCATAAGAGATAAAATAGAAGAAACTGACCGAACTCTGTTATTGACCGACCACCATAGAAACCAACTAGTAGGAACTTAACCCAACCCAAAGAGTTTAAACCACACACTCATAGCTCAAACCGAAACTCTTTAAAACCTATACCGAACATTATACTAGACCAAGTACTTAGAGATTATTGGATACTCTATCCAGACCAAACACTAGTTTAATATTAGAACACTGTGATTAGACCGAACGATCATAAATAAATAATACCTCTAATAGACCGAACCCAATTAATGACTAAGTACGTAACATCACCGAACGGTCAACAAAACAAAATTCTGAATAATACTCCTTAAACCAAAACAAGATATTTTTCTTAATTTCTTAAACTTCCAAACTTGATTTCTAATTTATTTTAAACCTATTCCACTGAACCTATTACACACTACTCACCACTCACATTTTCACATACTCTCTTCCCAAACAGAATTGACCGAACGTTTTACAACAGGAAACTCCATCCCAGTTCACATGTCTCGGCCAAACACATAATTTGAATACAATTCAATCAAACATACCATTATTCATACATGCAAGCGTACACACATCAATTCCAAACACAGAAAAATATAATTAAATCACTAGCTTCCCTTACCTTGAATAAACTAGGCACTTCCTAAGCTTCCACTACTTTGACTAATCAACAACCACTTCTAAAGCAACCTACTACAATTCCGATCGGCGAAAAGGGACCAACCAGAGGATCAAAGACAGAAACAGGTTCAGAGAGAGATAAATGAAGAACACATGCAAGCTAAACAGTGCGTGCATGTTCCATAAAATACCGAAACTTAAAAAGAAGAATGAGTTTACTTACCCACTTCACACAACAACTAGATTGATGGAAAAGAAACTCTTGCCACCAAGGAAGAACTCAGACACAACCTAGATGATAATTAGAAGAAGAAGAAAGTGAGGATTTTTAGAGAGAAGAAGGAGAATTGTAGAGAGAAGGAGGAGAAACTCAGAAAGTTTGGAGAGAAGAGGTGCATGCAAAAGTGGCTCAACGTTTGAAAATTTTACTTATATACTACCGTCAAAAACCGATCGGCCAATCAGCTACACACACCTGTCTTCCACTCTTTGAATTTTCTGAACCCTTTCACATACACCTGGTTTTCACTCACACTGAAATTAATGATTCTGACAATCATGTTTTAAAGGTTTTTCAAAACTTTCAAGTGCCTAAAATATTTATTTTTTAGGAAATCTAAATCAATGATTTTAATGGGGGATTTTTACAAATTTCTCAAATTTGTATCAATATTCTTTAATTGGCTTGAATCATATATATTTTCATCAAGTATAATCATCATATAGTATTTCAATCTTCTCCTCACTACCGTGAGTTTGAGAATCAAAATTATCCTCATCATTAACTATTATTTCTCTATTGTTGCTTTTACATATATGTATATTATTATTCTCTTATTCATTCAAAGAGCACCACCTGTAATTTTTAATTCATTTTTTGTATTCATTTTTATAAATTTATCCATAATTTTTTTTATGCAATTATAGTCTCAACTCTTATATGCTAGAGTTTTGCCTCAACTCTTCTACAATTCAAGAAAAAAACAACAATGAATCAAAAAGAAAAAAACAATGAATCAAAAAATAAATAAGAGAATATAAATGAGTTTAAGTAATGATTTCAATCCCTTCTATGAGTTTTATAAATATTTATATAATAGATATAAATATCTTATTAAAAAAGTTTCTCTTGAATACGAGTGTGTGAGGGGCTAACCAAGTAATTGTGCATCAAGTTCTCGTACAGAGGAGCTACCGAAGCATCAAACTCAACCATTATAAGCTTCACAGAAAGTAGACATATACGCTAGAATTTTAGGGGAAATAACCATAACTGGTACGTTGTTACCATAGAAGAAAAATTTAGTGGTATGAATTACAATAAATATAAATTTCAGATGATAATATAAATAAGTTTATATTAATTTGTCAATATATGTTACAAAAAAGGACATTACATATCCACAACGTTCTAAATTTTCTTTGACTTTTAAAATAATATAGTAATAATAATAATAATAATAAATAATAATAATAATGGAATAATAATAATAATAATAAAATAGTATTTATTATAAGAATAAAACAGTGTTGAGTTGTAGTCCTTTCCGTCATCTTTGTCATTCATGCTACGACCCTCACCATACCAATTACTACTTAAAAACAGTCCTTGCTTTTCACTTTGCTTCAGTGCTTCTTCTGCCCAAATCCAAACCTCGCAGTTCTTCATCATTTCATACTCCAATTCATCATTCAGAAACCTATCTCTCCTTCACAATCATTTTCCGCCCTTTCGTATATCCACAATGTCCAACTGCACTGTTTCTTCTTCCAACAGGACCACCGCTTTCGACCGTTTCTACACTCCTCCGCTTTTCCGAAAACTGCATCCAGACCACCGGAAAAAGTTCAATTCTGACTCGGTCCAACCGGATTTGCAAACCGCTTCTTACGAACCGGCATTGTCCCCCACTGCCTGTCTCAGTAATATGGATCGTCTTTTGGACGCATTCACACCCTCCGTCCCTGCTCACTCGTTCCGCGAGGTGCTCAATCTAATCGTTTAATTAACATGCTTTCATTTCTGTTCCTTGTTCCTTAGGCTACTGACTTTCAAATTTCATAATGCTTTTGCAATGTTTTCTAACTGTTCTTCTTCTTAATTTGAAAAATAAAATTGGACATGGTTGGTGTTTTAATTGCTTATTTTTTCACTTCCTATTGCTAACTTCTTGGCCTTGGCTTTGGATTGTGCAGCCTAAAATGAAGGGACGCCGAACTGGTTACTCCAGTACCAACAATAGCAGTGGACGCCTATATATTGTGCTCGAGGATCTGTGGGAATCCTACAGAGAATGGAGCGCCTACGGTGTAGAGGTGCCAGTAAGCCATGACGGAGAGGAGGAGGCAAAAATATACTATGCGCCCTCCCTCTCTGCAATTCAGCTATATGCTCAGGGGTAGTTTCTTTATCTCCATTTTGCTTCACCAATGCTTATAATTTGTCCCTTTGTCATAACTTTTTTATTTTTTTATTTTTTTGCCATTGGTTTTGCGTCACATCGAACTTTTCTTCCAGTTTTTGTCAAAATTGATTTTTACTGATTTCCTACTTCTGCTTTGCTCTATTTTCTTACTCTGATCATGGAACAGTTGTGTTTCATACTGATTTCTTACTGTTCTTTCTGTCTGATGTCACAAAATGCTGAGAACCAAAGGTTCATGCTTGGTTGGATGGAATTTTGTGATTTGCTGTGATTCATATCGTTTTGGCAGGAGTAATCTAGCAAACAGCTATAGTTTTCATGGCCTTTTATGCTTGAAGTGCTGCTTGACTTGTACCAATGCCTCACACTAATTTATACCAAAAAGTCATATTGTTGATGACCATTTATTTCCAACAAAGTTGTAACTTATCAGTTCACTCGTTCTACCTTCACTGAAGCAACTTGGTTAGTTAAATGGTTATTTGGTTAGAATTATGGTATAAATTAGTGTGTGAGGCCCTGGGTGAAACTTGATTCTTCGCTATAACTGTCAATTCAAAAGGCATTTAGTTTTAGTTGTTAAAAGTTGATTAAACTTTTAATGGATCTTTCTATTTGCATCTTTCATTATTTACATTGATACGGTATTGCTCAATTGTAAAGTATGCCCGAGTGTTTGCACATTGACCTGAAAGTGTCACATGAAAGTCTGCAGGATAACCATTTTATACCCAAGATCACCATATTTTCGGTTGCTTATGTCTTATTCCCTCTTTATTTGATGGATTATAGACTTTGGGAAACTCTTTAGTAAATTTTTTTGTTGTGCTTTCACAGTTCACTCTCATTTTATGTGCCAGTTCTTCGTGATTTGGTAAATTTCCACTATTTAACTTGCTCTCAACCAAATTATGCTTCTAGTTCATGATATTGTTTTACATTATTTCTTTGACAACAAGACATCATCATAGCACCATTACGACGATTAACATGATGCCTGGTTATTAACATCTTAACTGGGGGCATAAAACTGTGCAGGAGACTTGAAGAGGACAGTAGCGCTGAGTCTTCTCAGGAGACAAACTGCTCTACTGAGCAGCTTGTCTATGAATTCTTCGAGGGAGCTCTGCCACATATTCGGCCTCCTTTACATGATAAGGAAAGTCTCGTCCTTTCAGATCTACCTATTAAAATCTCCCCCTGATTTGGACACTGACAATTTCTTTTTCCTCTCAGGTTTCCATTCTTGCTTCTGAGTTTCCTTCGCTCAAGAAGTATAGAAGCTGTGATATATCACCTTCTAGTTGGTTTTCTGTGGCCTGGTAGGTGTCAAAACGTTCATCTGCTGTTGTCGTTTAAGTTATCACTAAACTTTTCATTGTCCTCATGAAAAAATGAACTTCGGCCGCCCAGGTATCCAATATATAAAATACCAGTGGTATCATCAATCAAGAGGGTGGATGCATCTTTCCTGACCTACCATTCCCTGTCAGCTGACTCAAGAAGTATGCTTCTCTCTTTCATTCTTAGTTTCTGACCATTTCAAGCACGCAAGTAGTGAAGTTCCCAACAATTGTACCTGATTTGGCTTATATATGTCTCAGGGAAAAACCAACTGGAGTTTAGTAGCAGGAAGGTCCGTGATGATGATGAATCCTTAAATATATCTCTTCCCACTTTTGGCCTTGCCGCTTATAAGTTGAGAGGCTCAATACTAGCTCCTCATAGAGACTCTGAATGGCACAAAGTGGACTCTCTTTTGGAAGCTGCTGCTGACTGGCTACAGAATTTGCAAGCGAACCACCCAGATTACCTGTACTTTGTTAGCCACAGTACCTTGTACAGATAATGAAGAAAGATTCAAAATATTCTTCCACACATTCAGAGTCAGAAAAGCTTCTGCATAGAGTATAGCATCGACATGAAACTGAATTGATATGCCGAAACATTCTTACTAACTATATTCAGTATCAGCTGTTATTTTCGGTCTGCCCATAGGAGTTGAGTTGCGGTATATAGTGCAGGTGACAACCTCTTGAGTTTTTAGTAGTGATTTACGAACATGTTGTTTATGATTGGACTATATTAAAGTCCCGTGAAAAGCTATAGGCAGTAGGAAATTGTATGCCATAAGAGTAAGACATGAAAGAAGTGCAGTATAGGAAATTAAGAGTATAAGGACCCGCTTCTTTTGTGTTTTTTTGCCAACTTTTTGACAACGCCATGTGTCAGCAATTGATTGGTTCGTTTGAAATAAATAATTTTTGTAAAAATGTGACATGGAAGGATTCAGGTTAACCATTTTGATGATTCTGAAAATACCCCTATCCTTACCCCTTTTATGTTGAATCCAATTTTCATTCTCTCCACTTTTCATTTTCGTGCTCTCTCTAACCTCTTTCATCATTCTCTCTCCATTCTCTCTCCAAGCTCTCTCCTATCTTTCTTCAAGCTCTCTCCTTTCTCTCTTCAAGCTCACCCCTTTTTCTCTTCAAGCCTTCTCCTTTCTCTCTCGTTTCTCTCTATTTTAGCTTCATCTTCTTCGGCGAAGCAACCCGGCGAGACACATGTTCTCCTTTCCATTAATTTTGTTGTGGGAAATGGAAAACTTCGGTGACTTCTGTGATGGGAGCAAGGTATTTCCACTATTCCCTTTCCCCTTTCGCTTTTTCCCTTTCCCCTTTCCTTTCCCTTTTTCCACTTCCTCTTTCCCATTTTCCATTTAGCCTTTCCCATTTCCCCTTTGCCAATTTGTGTTTCTTGTTTTGTTAATTATTTTTTGGATTGTTCGAACGTGAAATTTTTTTTTTATGCAGTTATGTGTGCAACATTCTTTCAAAACCAAGTTTATTGATGTTTTGAATAGAAGATTGACTCATGAGGAGAGGAATGTCTACTTGATAAAATTATGGAATGTCAACTTTCCAATCATACTGACATTAATATTTTAAAAAATTATTGTAATGGATTGTATCGAACATTTCCAATTCACAACATCTTCTTTCAATGTTAATATTCATGAATTGAACCAAACTATGTTCTCATAATGGAATGTTAATGAATTTGATACGCATGACCATTAAACTCCCTTACCCATCTCAAAAATTGGAAAAAGTCACCAAAAACATAAGCAAAACCATCATGGCGAGTCCAGTTGAACTACCTTGGTTCAAACACCTATAGAAGCTTTTTCCTTCACAATTGAGTGGGACAACCTGTGTTTTGATACACTTGACACCATCAATGATAAGCAACGTGAGGCATCCATGCAAAAAATAGAAAAAATCATCGACAGGACACAAAAATGACCCTAGTAGTCAAGTTCTCCCAGTTGAGGAGTAACGTGTAACTTTTTGTACAAATCAGCAATCGATCCCTGGTAATCAATTGCAGGGACCCTGTAATCGATTACCAGGGGCTAATTCCTGATTTGTACGAAAAGTTACATGTTACTCCCCAACTGGGAGAACTTGACTCCCAAGGTCATTTTTGTGTCACTCTGGGTGATTTTTTCCAATTTTTGCATGGATGCCTCATGTTGCTCATCATTGATGGTGTCAAGTGTATCAAAACATAATTTGCCCCACTTAATTGTGGACGAAACAGTCCATATAGGTGTTTCAACCAAGGTATGTGAAGTCCATGACCATTTTTGCCCAACTCATGCCATGTAATCGATTACAAGATTATCAGGGCATGAGTTAGGCAAAAATGGTCATGGACTTGAAGTACCTTGGTTCAAAAACCTATAGGAGCTTTTTCTCCATAATTAAGTGAGGCAAACTGTGTTTTGATACACTTGACACCATCAATGATGAGTAACATATGTTTCTTCCTCAATTGAGTGGGGAAAACGGTTTTTTGATGCACTTGACAACATCAATGATGATCAACGTGAGTCATCCATGCAAAAAGATAAAAAAAATCACCCATAGTGACACAAAAATGACCTTGGGGAGTCAAGTTCTCCCAGCTGGGGAGTAACGTGTAACTTTTCGTACAAATCAGCAATCAGTCCCTGGTAATCGATTACAGCCTGTAATCGATTACCAGGGACTGATTGCTGATTTGTACGAAAAGTTACACGTTACTCCCCAGCTGGGAGAACTTGACTCCCCAAGGTCATTTTTGTGTCCCTATGGGTGATTTTTTCCAATTTTTGCATGGATGCCTCATGTTGCTTATCTTTGATGGTGTCAATTATATCAAAACACAGTTTTCTCCACTCAATTGTGGACAAAATAGTCCGTATAGGTGTTTGAACTAAGGTAGCTGAAGTCTATGACCATTTAGGAAGCTTAGAAAAACGTTGTTTTTTGGAAATTAACTACACCTAGTACAATGGTCTAAAATTTATGATTTAGTTGTCATGAGAAAGCTCTTTGAGTCTATTTTCTAACAAAACAATAATCAAATCATTTGGAGTTCGGTGGAGAAAGTTAAAAGCAAAACAACTAGACAAAGGTCAGAGGTGGTAGGAATATATAAAACGTTAACTTTAAGGAATTAACTGTACCTACTCAGGTGTCCACAAATTACACATTAGTTGTCATTAGAAAGCTTTTTGATTCTAGATTCCAACAAAACAATAATCAACTCATTTGGCGTTTGGTGGAGAAAGTTAAGAGCAAAACAATCAACAAAGGTAAGAGTTGACGTGAATATATAAAGCGTTAACTTTAAGGAATTAATTGTACCTACTTTAAGGAATTAACGTTCTGTGAGAAAAGTTATGATTAAAATAGTCAGCAAAGGTCAAAGTTGACATCATGTTATTTTATATGTATATATTTCCCTCTTGTTCACATATCTATTATTTATTGAAAATGTCTTTTAAAATTTGTGCATTGTAACAACCTTAGATGACATATTTCTTAATTAATAAAATGAAAAGTTTTCCTGTGACACTTTAAGAAGGGGTGTTACAATAATGGTCATGCACCTCACCTTAGTTGGAGAAAATCACCTAAATGGATATTTTTTTGAAAAAAATCAATGATCTAACCTCATCATTAGTGTAGGGAACACAGCCAATACCATTGAACTCAGTCACTCATCTAAAAAAATGGAAAAAATGACCGAAAATAAAGCAAAACCCTTCATGGGGAGTATTGTTCATCTAGTTGGAGAGTATAGTTGAAGTTTTTGTACAAACCACCAATATGTCTCTGGTAATTGATTACAAGACTCCTATAATCGATTACAAGAGGTATATTGGTAGTTTGTACAAAAAATTGAACGTGGCTCCCAAGTTGGGAGAACTAAGCTCCCCAAGGTTTCATGGACTATGTTTTTTAGTGACTTTTTCAGTTCTTTGTCTTGGATGAGTGAGTGAAAATCATCGACCTCAATTATAATTAAGACGATGAATCAAAGAAACTTTTTTTCATAATGGCTTTCAAAATCAATTATGGTTGAAGTTGAATTAACACATTACGTTATAATACATTCATTCATAGTCGAAAAAAATAACATAATAAATAAGAAATCAAAAAATGTAATTCATTCATTGATAAGAAAACATTACAATATTGAAAAGGCATTACAATAATAAAAAAATATTTTCATTTAAAAACTAAGAAAGACTATACTATCAAATCTAAGAAGGTCCTTGTTGATCTAAGCAACTTCGTATATAATCCACAAACATGCGAAGATCTCGAATGTCGTTGATAACTTAAGTCAGCATTGTAGAAGAACTCTCTTATGGAGGGGGAGACGGTAAATGAACATCATGCATTCTATGGGCATCCTCTCTTTTGTGAACCCAATTTCCATCATCATTTTTGACAAAACCAAATGATTGTATAACTTCAGCTTCAATCCTAAATGACGGCTTAACTTGGGTTAAAAGGATCAACTTGTCACCTATGCCAAAAAAATCTCCTAAAACAACATATACAACAAAAAACATTCATCACCAATAGCCTTTACAAAGCAACATAAAACATAGTAAAACAACAAGCACCACAATAGTGCAGTTCTACAACAACCCAATTTTCAACATAAAAAAGAGTTAAACAACAACCCAATCATCAACAACAACAATAACACAAAGAGAAAACATAACCCATGACTCTATGGTTCTAGGCACCTCAACACTAACGAAGACCCATTCTTTCACCCAAAAATGCCAACACGTTCGAAAAAGGAAAGGAATCACCTTTACTCCTTGGTCAAGAGCGTGAGAGAGGGGGAATGTGAATGTGCTGGTCAAGAAACGGTGTAGGTGACGGTGGAGGTGATCGTCGACGTCACAAGGGGTGAGAAGTGAAGGACAAATGGCGAGAGGGCGAGTGGGCAAAAATCAAAAGTTTTCAATAGGAGAAGAAGAAAGGGCGAGATAGAGAAGAGAGAAAATTGATGGAAGTTGATGTTGGAGGTTGTCGCCGGTGAGAAAGAAGAACAAAGGGAGAGAGAGAACAATCAAAGATGGTGAGAGAGCAAGGAGAAATGTACACAGAGAGAAAACGAAGAGTCTGAAAATTGACTTTGGAGAAAACCACAAAACGTTCTTTCCTTCCCAAATAAGTGCACCAATCAAACATTCACACCTGGTGTTGTTAAAAAGTTGTGACCATTTAGTTGTTAAAGAAACATTTTCCTTTTCGTTGTTAGGGGCAATTCAACATTTTGATTCGGGAATGAGGATAAAACTGTATCTTGTCAGTTTTATCTGGTTTATTGATATTAAAATCAGACAAACAAAAGTTATCCAAAATTTGGAAAAAAACTTGTTGTCTTCATTTTTCTATAATATATTTAAGGATCTCATACTTTAACAACTAAATTTTGACAATAACACGTGTTAAGCAGTCAGTTCTTGGTGCATTTCAAATTTTTTTAAACCAAAAATAATGAAGTGGAAGGGGAGGTTAGGTCGAAAAGCTTTCGTGGCTGCTTCCATTTCATTTTTTCAAAGAGGTTTGGACTCTCCCCTTTTTCTCTCTGTTCTCTATTTGGGTTTTCTCTCTTGTTTCTCTGTTTTCCGACGAATCGTCCACCACCGATGAAAGCTTTTCCTTTTCCTCCACCATCTTTGGCGTGACCACATTCCTTTTTATTCTTTTGGTGGTTTGTTGTTTTGATAGCCCTTTTTCCTTTTCCCTTTTTGTGTTGTGTGTTGTGAAATGGAGAAATTTGGTGAATGTAGCTACGCAAAATATGTGTTCGTTGTTGGAAAAACCTCTTTCTCCTT